GRAACAATGATCAAAATCAGGACGAGCAGCCAAGAGGGAGATCCYGTCACAATTCTAATATCACTCTGACGAACATCAATCGAACTGACACGTGTCATGGAGGCAATCATTACCACCGTGAGGTGAGACAGCAGTGGATGAAACAAGTAAGCGCCCCGTCACTCATGAACTAYGTAAAAATAAGAATGAWTTTTTCTTCAAAACAGRGGAAGGTACGCTTTTGAAAGTGAAAATGAGTCTTCCGTTAGAGCTGCGGCCAGATGCAGCRTCCACTACCCCACCGGGTGACTCCACAGTTTGCCACCGTAGCTTGGCGCTCTGCCCTTCTGCATTCACCAAATCGTGGCAAGTGCCTCTCTCTCTCTCTCTCTCTCTCTCTCTCTCTCTCTCTCGTACCTGCACGCACTCACGGTTGCATCCTATCGGTAGTTACTACCATCGGCCACATCGAACATCTTCACTCAGACCGTGACCATGAGCGTGATCACATGTGGCAACGCAATCCAAGAGCGGCGCCGTGAATGAAAGTGATAGATGCCAAAAAGACTGTGCGTCTGGGTAAGTATCTCCTCTGTTCTCTCCTTCGGCCCCACTCTTCCCTTGCTGCCCACTCTTCGACCCCCACCTTGCCCGTGCTCATGCTAGCTACCAATGAACCCGGCCGAAAGTTTGGCCGCATGCATGCATACTGACGATGAAGGGGTAGCATCGCCGGTCAGGGGGCTTCAATGGCGACGAGGCAAGAGTGTGTTCCCCGCTGGAAACCAGCCAGAAACTTCGCCACCCGTCACTACCTTGCCACGAGGGACTGGGATCAGAGTGACTGTACGGTGACTGCGAGCCCAACGACAACCGAAGTGACGACCGCCATGCTCACGCAAACCCAACATTCACGCACACGCAGATCATGCTAACCACCACAAAGAACATCACCGTGAGCACCGGCTATTCGAAGATGACGAACATAGAAATCCTGCCCGTTGCTCACCAAGCCTGCAGAATGAGAATGAATCTTTCTCTAAAGCGCAGGCCAGATTCATTGTTATATTCAACCTCCGACGGCCGTGGCGCAGCCCATACATACTGCAACACAAATTTGGTAACCCCTTTCCCAAATCTGACTTCACCCACCTGCTCGCAACGTCCGGAAACCCCCGTTTTACATCCACCCTTGCTCCAATCCGCCTACTAACGAGCGAGAAAACCCACTTTCCCTCTCCTTCGTTCTGGCCTCCTCCATAGCTCCGCGCAGCCCGTTTTCCAACTAACTCTCAGCCTTCTCACCTCCTACCCAAACTGACCCCATACTTCTGTTCGCCCCACCTAAAATCCCCTACCTACTATCTCCCCCTGTCTGAATCCGTCAAGAGTCGATGAGATCGCTCGTTCCCTCGTCTCTCATAGCCAGCTCTCCTTCTCCCTCACCTTTGAATGCACCTGGCGCGCGGCCGCGTCCGGGTTCATTCCTCCCTGTTTTTTTTTTTTTTTTTCTGTTTCTGCTGCTTCCTTTTTCGTAGTGCTGCACTTTCTTGCACTACCTCCCTCTTCTCCAATCCATCCCCCGCTGCCCTCATACGCAGCGCTCAGCGATCCGCTCCGTCGGGAGGGCGTGCAGCAATGGCAATCCACCGTATGACCACACCAAGCCACGGTGGGCTGCCTCCCCCGACTTTATACTGTTCATCCCTGCGCAGGGGCCATGCTAATCTTCTCTGTATCGTTCCAATTTTAACGGATGTCCCGAAGGACTGCCTCAGGGGCAGAGGTCCGGGACCTCTGGTCTGCTGCCGCAGGGCAGCTGCACCATCCGGTCTCGGACACGGTCTATATTTCGACAGTTCAGTGGTGTATCCACTGAACTCGGCTCTTGGGTACACCGCCGGTCTCGAGACCGGTACCAGCCTCGTCTCAATAATAATAATAAAAAACAATAATAAAAAAATAAAATTTTCAGAAATAATGAAACTCACAATAATAATAATAATAATAACCAGCGGCCTGGGGGAGCAGGACCCGTCTGCACCTGGTCCTCGGCCCTGCCTTGCGGGCCCTCTGTCGGAACCCCCCGCAAAAGGCCAAGGGGGATAGTCCTTCAGGACCCTCAACCCCTCGGCTCACTCCGACGCACTCCTCCGCTACTCCACCGCTCGCTACTGGCCTCGTCCCGGGACCGCCTAGTGAGAGTCTAGCACCGTAACCAATAGGGCTAAGCCCAAGCCTGGATACAGCAGGCACAATCCTACTCATAAAGAGTAGGGGCAGTCCGTCCAGGCCTGCACACAGTCCCTCAGGCCGTTCCTCTTTCTTGCCGCCTGCGTCCCGGGCTCCCTGAGGCCGAACCTGGCTCTCTCGGGAGCGCGGCTCCGCTGGCTTACCACACGCGCTGGCTCAGGGCGGCGGCCAAGCCTCTCATGGCCTGCCACCATGCCTTTTTACCGCCTCTCTGCCGAAAAAAACCCTCTCGCCGCTCTTTCTTAGCGCCGCCCTTCCTTGGCCTCGCTAGTGGCTTCTACCATCGGTAGTGCAAGGTCAATCTGGCGCCTGCAAACTTTGCACGATACGACCCCAGAATTGCCGGTTTTCAATAAGTGGGGCGGCGCCCTCCTTTGGTCATAGTCCTACCAGGCCAACTCTACGCCGTCCGAAATCTTACCTGTGCGTGCGAGGTTGCGACCACCTCTAGCGTGGCACTTATTCGTCGACCGACGTCTCATGGCCTTCTTCAACCCAGACTCAGTCAGGCTAACGCGTGCCCACGAAGTGCACGCCCACACACTCTCTAATCAATACAAAATTAGGACGCGCCTCCAGATAATGCCAGAGGCGTCCTTCCTGTGAGCTACAAAAACGTGCCCAAATACCCTTGTAAGGGTATTCGAGCCGACATCGGAGCTGCTGACCACGACTTTGACCAAGCTGGAGTTGGTATAATCTCGCCAAGCCCTTAGCCTATCCCCTCGCCCTATGGATGTGCACTCACCCTATGGTACGTGCTGAGTCTGAGTCTGTCTGTCTCTTCTTTTTGCATTGAGTCTCTTCTGTCCAGGTGATAGGACGCCGTGTATGAAGGATAGGGCCTCGTTGACCAAACCCCTGCCGGGCTGAGTAGGGCTAAAGACTGTGTCTGACAACTCGACTGTCCCGGAGGACACGAACCCTCCCAGGGACCGGTACTGACCGGCGGGCTGCTCGGTGTGGCATGGTAGGCCTGAAATTCGAGTTGTGGGCTGCACAATGGGCCGTCTAAGTCTTGAGAGAACCTGCTGACGGCGTCGTCCTGTCTGCGACGTTAAAGAATTCCTGAGGAGTTACGGGGGATCTCCTTAAATGCCTCCTGGTCAGCAACGGGTTCTGTAGTGACGGCTATAGTATTAGAGACTAGGCTAGAGACCATAGTTGACAGGGTTCTATACGGATCCTGTGGTCCTTAGATCGAGTCAGTAGGTCTTGTCAGTTAGGGGGAGAGTCTAAGTGGTGAGGAGCGGAACTATCACTTGGTTGTGCGTCTATCACCATGGTTGACACGAGTAGTGGAACGAGCACCTCCCCTTACACAGCAGAGCAGGATGCGAAGACCGCCGCCATCCTAAAAGAGAGAAGAGAGAAGGAGGCCAAGAAGAAGGCCCTGATAGAAGAACAGGCGGCGAAGATGAGGAAGATTGAGGAAGAGATGGCCAGAGAGAAGGAGAGACTAAAGAGAGAAGAAGAAGCGAAGCTCGAGGCGGTAGAAGAGGAGGAGGAAGAAGAACAGCCACTGGAAAGGCGAAGGGCAGGAGGAAGAGGTGAACCCAGTGGTACAAAAGAGGACCTAGTGGAGAACAAGATTACAGAGTGGGTTGCTGGATTGTCCCTGGGGGAAGATGAGGAGGCCTTAATGTATATGCCCAGGGAAGAACAGGAGGCGGTCGTGAAAGAGTGGGATGTTGAAGAAGATCCACTCAAGCGGTAGGTGTTGGAAGATGAGAAAAGGATGGAGTGAAAGTTTCGTCTGACAAGGGAAAGGAAAAGAAGGATAGAAGCGGCGAGCCAAGCGGCGAAAGAGTTGGAGGAGATAAAGAAGCAGAGAGACCAAATGGCGACGCAGGTGGATTTATTGGGAAGATGGAAATTATGGTGAGGAACATAGAGCGCATGGCATAAGTCCAGGGGAGAACAATTTTTATTTGGTAGAAGTCAAGACATTGTCGTGCGTTCTATACGATTGGGACTCAGGGACTCTGCACGGGAATTGGCGACTCAGGTGGGCTCCAAAGTAAGGACCCGCCTAGAAGGCACAGAGCGATACTGCACCGGCGCCATAGAAGGCGCCAGACTGACCGCTCCCAAAGAGGAGGAAGCACGTCCCCGTAGGGAGCCTGTCAAAGTTAAATTTCCCGATTCCTACAACAGGAAGGAGGAAAACTTTGACAATTGGGAGGCCAATGTTAAGACCTACGTGCATCTGCAAAAGGTCTCCCCAGATGAGCATGTTCTAATAGCTATTCACGCCCTGAAGGAAGAAGTCGCCAGTTTCGCCGGTTCCCTGGTTCGCGTTGCTAATTGCAATGATGATCTAGTTGCTTATTATGCGTTTACTCCCCTCACTGATTTCCTTAAATTATTGCGCAAACGATTTGCAGACGTTTCGCGCAGTGTCAAAGCCTCCGACAGGCTGCAAACCATCCACTCTCGTCAGTGGAGTGCCAAGGCACTCAAAGGCGTTATGGACGAGTTAGTTGCAGTCCCTGACCACGGGGTCACAGAGACCCAGTTGGTCAATCTCTTCTACCAGGCTATGCCCGAATCGTTGTGTGGGCACTTCTTCAAGAAGAGCCAGCAGCCCACCATGACCTACGACACATTGAGCAGGGAAGTGGTGGCGTTTGAAGCAAGGTCCATGTCAGTCTCCACTTTCTAGCATAAGGACCTGGACAAGGGGAAAAAGTGGAAAGGTGACACTATCTCAGAACAGGTTAAGACCAAGGATCGCTTGATCCTTACGTTAGATGAAGGTAGTGTTGACGAAGTCCCCTACAAGCAAATTGAGTGGGGGCTAGAGGAGGAGGACAGTGGTGTGAGCCAGGGGAGGACTTACGCTGTTGTCGCGGTTGGAGGGAGGCCGCAAGGAGGAGGTAGAGGCCAGGGCCAAGGGGGCCAGGTCTCAGGTGGTGGTACCCAGGGCGTTCAGGGGGTTGGCGACAGAGGAAACCGCCAAGAGGGAGGCAGGGGTCAAGGTCCCCCGCAAAACCGTTCTGGGAATAGGTCACCTAATAGGGGTAACATATCACCCTACAGGAGAGGACGATGACACCCAGGTCTGCCACAGGGTAGGCCTTGGGAAGATTTGGGCCAGGACCAGCGTGTGGACCAAGGGCAGTGCATCTACTGCGGTGACCCTGGCCACATCATCATATATTGTCCAAAGTATAGAGAGGTCCGTTTGGCTGCCCAGGGGTCAAAAGGCAGCCGCCGGTAGGGGTAGCAACTGGCCCTACCATAAGGCCATGTGGGGAAACGAGCGCGAGCCGGCAAGAAACTCCCACACCACATGTGCCTATGGCAGAGGTCGCAGGCCGGTGCCTAAATAGCTGTCCAGAGACTGCTTGTGTCAGAGTCTCTTTAGGCACTTCCCTCACAGGCGTGGCCGATAAGCTGAAGGAGAGGATGCCCGCCTGGGCCAAGATGAAGAAGGAAAGTAAGGGACAACTAGTTTTGGTAGATGTGGAAGTTTTAGAAGTAGAGTAGGAGCCCTTATAGATTCAGGGGCTACCCGCAGTTATATTACTCGTAGAGCGCTGAAGAAGTTGAGGCTAGGGTTGAAAGTCGAAAAGTTGGAAGACCCCATAGTTAGTGTCCTCGCGGATAACCGCACTATGCGAGTTGAGGACTACATAGAGGGAGTCCAGGCGTATTTCCGCCTAGAAAAAGATGGGAAAGTGGAGAAAGTTCTCCATTCCCTGACTCTCCTCGTACAAGACAACCTTCCTTTTGATATAGTCCTAGGTATGGAGTGGGGAGAGGGAGCAGGGGCCACACTCCACTTGAGAGAGCACGAGTGTAGACTCCCTAGTCCGTCAGGCGGGATCAAGACTGCCCTTCTGTTTCATGTGTCCGGAGTAGACAACTCCTTGGTTACGTCGGGCGTTACGAAGGAAGCGCGGCCGGTCGAGGGAGGAAGGGGGAGGTAGGGAGTAGGACGGAGGGAGGAATGGAAGTAGGAGGTCAGGTGGTGATCGGGCTGAGGAAGGACGCTCCTGCGTTCGCAAGGTTAGTAAAGAAGGAGCAGCTAGAGGAACAGGTTTTCGTAGCCTATGTTAGGCCAGTGACTGAGCCCAAAGAGGAGAAGCCTATAGACCCTGCTATTGCCAAGCTGCTGGAAGAGTTCACAGGCTTAGCGAAGCCGCCAACAGGAGTAGTACCGCGGCCTATCCAACATCGCATTGAGATAGAGCCTGGCAGTAGGACTCCCAAGGGAGCAGTGTATAGGATGTCCCCGCGGGAGTTGGAGGAGCTGCGCAAGCAATTAGATGAGCTCCTAGAGAAGGGTTGGATTAGGCCCAATTCGCCTCCCTTTGGAGCACCTGTTCTATTTGTCCCAAAGAAGGAGGCCACGTTTAGCACACCCGCTAGTATTCAAAAATGGGGACCAAAGCTTGATGTATGCATTCTCAAGCTTACCCAGATCAGTTCCAACAAGGACATCAACCGGAACGAGCAAGTAGTTTCCAATCCCAAAACTGGCAAGCCATCTGTGAAAGTGCGACTGTTTATGGTTACGGCAGCAATAGAGGTGTTCCCGCCAACGGGTATCAACGTCACGAGTGGATTTCCCTACGTACAAAGATTTATAGAAGGGTGAAATACCAACATACACACAATCGGTGAGATCGAGGAAATCCAAACCGTGTCGATCGTACAGGTCAATCCAGTTAGCAACACATTTATCTGCCCAGCGTATCTGGCCCTGCACCGCCAATAACAGAAAAACAAGGCGGAGAAGTTTCTCCACACTCCTATCTACACCGGTGGAATCGCAGCGGAGGTGGGTTAAAAATCGGCAAACCTTCCACAACTGTGGTATGGAGAGGACACTTCACCCCTCATCGGTAGGGGCAACATCTGGCTCAACCGTCGTATCGTTGGACATGGCTATACGTTCGATGTTATCCGAAGCGATCAAGAACGCCCGGTCGGTCCTGTGATCAGCGATATCAAAGATCGCTTCTATCTTCTTGTCATAATGAATTTCCTCCTCACGACAAATGCGCTGCAATTCAGTCGCATCGAGGTCCTTGAGCTCACGCAGTACATTCTCACGGTACCGCAGGCGCTCGAGCGTAACTTTAGATTGCGGCGTCAACGCTGGTGTCCGCTTGCGTGTCGCCTTCTTCTTTCTCGAAGTGGGAGCAAGACCACCACCGCCTTTCTTTGACTTTGACCGTGTCAAGCGCCTCGACAGCTTCACGGGCTTCAGTATCCCACGCCTAGGTGTACACTTGGCAGGCTGCTCCATTGGTGGACTCGGGTCTTCAAAGACAGGTTCAAGGCCCCACTTTCGTTTTTCGCAGATCGTCAATCGCTCCGCCCGTGCACTCAGTTCCTGCGTAACGCTGGTGTCACTATCACTGCCCGCACTTGATGAACCAGCATCCACATCGGATACGTAAGTCACCTTCTTCATCCCACGGTCACGGCACAACGGAGAGGCAGTCGAAACAAGTTGGTTCAAACGATGGACAAGGCGGTCTTCCATGTCCCCCACGTGAATGGCTAACTGGACCTGCAAATCTTTCTGCATCTCGGCTCGCCTTTCTTCCTCGGCAAGCTTCTTCTGCTTCCGCTTCCATGCCTTCTTCTCGGCCTTGATCCGCTCCTCTTCAACACGCGCCGCTTCCTCCTCTGCGCGTCGCTGCGCCTCTTCTTTCTCCAACTTCCGCTTCACCTTCAACTCCTTCTTCTCACGTTCCGTTGCATAATATTCCTCCATAGCCGCAACACTCTTACCCAATTTCGCAATGGTAACTCGAACCTCCGGATCGAGTTGTCGCGCAGGTTCGCGTCTAGCAGTTTCGTGTCGTTTCGGTGTTCGCGAGCGTCTCGAGTCAGTTGACTTCAAAGGTCTGGCACTCGAGTATCTCTTGTTGCGGTTCGGGCACTGGTTGGTGTAGTGCCCAACCTCCTGGCATGCAAAGCACGTAGGAGGCCCATATGACCTCCGTTCTCCCCCATCATTTGCACACTCTCGTTCTCGTCGCTCCCGATCCCAGTCGCCTCGCTCACGCTCCCACTCCCCTCGATCGTACGGGTCTTGCGAAGACATGTTGACGTCGAGTACAGTCAACTGATGTTGAAAGGTCCACCATATGTGGACTAAAGACGAACTTCGAAGGCCGGCGCACGGCTACACTCGTTGGCCGGCAATACCGAAGCAACGCCAGTAAATGGTCAAACAAAACAGTAAATTCGCCGCAACTATTACGTGCTCACTCAAGCCCGGTCAGTTTGTCTCCAGGTAAGTTCACACGCGCAATATCAAGTGATATGGATACAATTATAACGGATGTCCTGAGGGACTAAATCGTAGATTTATTCTCCAGGGGCCGTGCCATCTTCTCTGTATCAGTCCAATTATAACGGATGTCCTGAGGGACTAAATCGTAGATTTATTCTTCCGTCGAACTGTTTTGAATTCCATCATGTTCTTATTACCTTCCTGAGCTCCTACTGTCATTTCCCAAATAGAACGTGCGGTCATTATTGCTGTATCTAGACTGAAAGCTACCCCAAATACAGCTATAATTACTGTACGTTCTATTCGTCGGATGAAGGTAGGCAACGGTGATCCTCTCCACAGTGATGCTTTCCTCAGCTGAAGGTTTGACAGCCAAATGGCGGCGTTTGTTCCGCACATTTGTGGCGATTTTTAAAGAGGAAATTAATGTGCAAAAACTCCGAAAAATAGGGAAGAAGCTCCCGCGGGGACCGGCTTCAAAAATTAGGTGGAGTATTCGCTCGGGCAGATCCCCGAAGAATGGGACACTGTGGAGTATTAGCTCGGGCAGATCCCCGAAGAATGGGACACTGGACCCGTTTTCCAGTAAAAGCCCAAGCTGGGTACTGGCCACAGTATTCCCGGTTGAGATGTGGAGGAATTCCCAGCCTCCTTTTGCTCATATATATAAATAAAATCAAACTCTTTTCATTAAAAAAAAAAAAAAA